AAGGACGGCAATTGTGGAGGCCCATGATCGCTAACGTCCTGAAGGGACACAGGACATAGAAGCGGAAGAAAACGATCTTGAATAAATGGATAGCGGAACAAGGTTTAGTTAAAAAGAGTTTTAAAACGAATTAAAAATTAAAAAGTTAAAAATTAAAGAGCCTTGGACGGCAAATTGTGGAGGGGCCCCAAAGGACACAGGGACATAGAAGCGGAAGAAAACGATCTGAATAAAATTAGCGGAACAAAGGTTTAGGAGAGTTTAAAAGGAGCCAAAGGCCATGGAGGGGCCATGATCGCAACGTCCTGAAGGGACACAGGACATGAAGCGGAAGAAAAACGATCTTGAATAAATGGATAGCAGGAACAAGGTTTAGGAGAGTTCAAAAAAGTTAAAATTATTAAGAGCTACAAAGGACGGCAAATTGTGGGGGGGCCATGATCGCTAACGTCCTGAAGGGACACAGGACATAGAAGCGGAAGAAAAACGATCTTGAATAAATGGATATGGAACAAGGTTTAGGAGAGTTTAAAAAGTTAAAAATTAAGAGCCTACAAGGACGGCAAATTGTGGAGGGCCATGATCGCTAACGTCCTGAAGGACACAGGACAGAAGGAAGAAAAACGATCTTGAATAAATGGATAGCGGAACAAGGTTTAGGAGGTTTAAAAAATTAAAAAATTATTAAGAGCTACAAAGGACGGAAATTGTGGAGGCCATGATAAACGTCCTGAAGGGACACGGGACATAGAAGGAAGAAAAACGATCTTGAATAAATGGATAGTGAAACAAGGTTTAGGAAAAAAAGTTAAAAAATTATTAAGAGCTACAAAGGACGGGAAATTGTGGAGGCCATGATCGCTAACGTCCTGAAGGGACACGGGACATAGAAGCGGAAGAAAAAACGATCTTGAATAAATGGATAGCGGAAAAAAGGTTTAGGAGAGTTTAAAAAATTAAAATTATTAAGAGCTACAAAGGACGGGAAATTGTGGAGGCCATGATCGCTAACGTCCTGAAGGACACAGGACATAGAAGCGGAAGAAAACGATCTTGAATAAATGGATAGCGGAACAAGGTTTAGGAGAGTTTAAAAAGTTAAAAATTATTAAGAGCTACAAAGGACGGCAAATTGTGGAGGCCATGATCGCTAACGTCCTGAAGGGACACGGGACATAGAAGCGGAAGAAAAACGATCTTGAATAAATGGATAGCGGAACAAGGTTTAGGAGAGTTTAAAAAGTTAAAATTATTAAGAGCTACAAAGGACGGCAAATTGTGGAGGGCCATGATCGCTAACGTCCTGAAGGGGACACGGGACATAGAAGGAAGAAAAACGATCTTGAATAAATGGATAGCGGAACAAGGTTTAGGAGAGTTTAAAAAAAGTTAAAAATTATTAAGAGCTACAAAGGACGGCAAATTGTGGAGGGCCATGATCGCTAACGTCCTGAAGGGACACAGGACATAGAAGCGGAAGAAAAACGATCTTGAATAAATGGATATGGAACAAGGTTTAGGAGAGTTTAAAAGTTAAAAATTATTAAGAGCTACAAAGGACGGCAAATTGTGGAGGGCCATGATCGCTAACGTCCTGAAGGGACACGGGACCGGAAGAAAAAACGATCTTGAATAAATGGATAGCGGAACAAGGTTTGGAGAGTTTAAAAAAAGTTAAAAATTATTAAGAGCTATAAAGGACGGAAATGGAGGGCCATGATCGCTAACGTCCTGAAGGGACACGGGACATAGAAAGGGAAGAAAAACGATCTTGAATAAATGGATAGCGGAACAAGGTTTAGGAGAGTTTAAAAAGTTAAAAATTAAGAGCTACAAAGGACGGCAAATTGTGGAGGCCATGATCGCTAACGTCCTGAAGGGACAGGGGAGCAGAAGGGAAGAAAACGATCTTGAATAAATGGATAGCGGAACAAGGTTTAGAGAATTTAAAAAGTTACAAAAATTAAGAGCTACAAAGGACGGCAAATTGTGGAGGGCCATGATCGCTAACGTCCTGAAGGGACACAGGACATAGAGCGGAAGAAAAACGATCTTGAATAAATGGATAGCGGAACAAGGTTTAGGAGAGTTAAAAAAGTTAAAAATTATTAAGAGCTACAAAGGACGGCAAATTGGGAGGGCCATGATCGCTAACGTCCTGAAGGGACACAGGACATAGAAGGAAGAAAAAACGATCTTGAATAAATGGATAGCGGAACAGGTTTAGAGAGTTTAAAAAAGTTAAAAATTATTAAGAGCTACAAAGGACGGCAAATTGTGGAGGGCCATGATCTAACGTCCGTCCTGGGACACGGGACATAGAAGGAAGAAAAAACGATCTTGAATAAATGGATAGCGGAACAAGGTTTAGGAGAGTTTAAAAAAGTTAAAAATTATTAAGAGCTACAAAGGACGGCAAATTGTGGAGGGCCATGATCGCTAACGTCCTGAAGGACACGGGACATAGAAGCGGAAGAAAAACGATCTTGAATAAAATGGAAGGAACAAGGTTTAGGAGAGTTTAAAAAAGTTAAAATTATTAAGAGCCTACAAAGGACGGGAATTGTGGAGGGTTCGCAAACGTCCTGAAGGGACACGGGACATAGAAGCGGAAGAAAAACGATCTTGAATAAATGGATAGCGGAACAAGGTTTAGGAGAGTTAAAAAAGTTAAAAATTATTAAGAGCAAAGGACGGCAAATTGTGGAGGCCATGATCGCTAACGTCCTGAAGGACACGGGACATAGAAGGGAAGAAAAACGATCTTGAATAAATGGCGGAACAAGGTTTAGGAGAGTTTAAAAAAGTTAAAATTATTAAGAGCTACAAAGGACGAACAAATTGAGGCCATGATCGCCAACGTCCTGGACACACGGGACATAGAAGCGGAAGAAAAACGATCTTGAATAAATGGATATGGAACAAGGTTTAGGAGAGTTTAAAAAAGTTAAAAATTATTAAGAGCTACAAAGGACGGAAATTGTGGAGGGCCATGATCGCTAACGTCCTGAAGGACACGGGACATAGAAGCGGAAGAAAACGATCTTGAATAAATGGATAGCGGAACAAGGTTTAGGAGAGTTTAAAAAAGTTAAAAATTATTAAGAGCTACAAAGGACGGCAAATTGTGGAGGGCCATGATCGCTAACTGAAGGGACACCATGAAGGGAAGGACTTGAATAAATGGATAGGGACAGAGTTAAAAAAGTTAAAAGAAAAAGATCCAAAGGATAAATGTGGAGGCCATGATCGCCAACGTCCTGAAGGGACAGGTTTAGCGGAAGAAAAAAGATTTAAAAATGGAAGGTTTAGGAGAGTTTAAAAAAGTTAAAAATTATTAAGAGCTACAAAAGGACGGCAAATTGTGGAGGGCCATGATCGCTAACGTCCTGAAGGGGACATAGAAGGGAAGAAAACGATCTTGAATAAAATGGATAGCGGAACAAGGTTTAGGAGAGTTTAAAAAGTTAAAAATTATTAAGAGCTACAAAGGACGGGAAATTGTGGAGGCCATGATCGCTAACGTCCTGAAGGGACACGGGACATAGAAGCGGAAGAAAAACGATCTTGAATAAATGGATAGCGGAACAAGGTTTAGGAGAGTTTAAAAAGTTAAAAAATTATTAAGAGCTACAAAGGACGGAAATTGTGGAGGGCCATGATCGCTAACGTCCTGAAGGGACACAGGACATAGAAGCGGAAGAAAAACGATCTTGAATAAATGGATAGCGGAACAAGGTTTAGGAGAGTTTAAAAAAGTTAAAAATTATTAAGAGCTACAAAGGACGGGAAATTGTGGAGGGCCGGAAGAAATGATCGAATAAACGTCCAAGGTGAAGGGACAGAAGGGACATAGAACCGGAAGAAAAACGATCTTGAATAAATGGATAGCGGAACAAGGTTTAGGAGAGTTTAAAAAAAAAGTTAAAATTATTATGAGAGCTGAAGGACAAAGGACGGAAAATAGCGGAACAAGGTTTGGAGGGCCATGATAACGTCCTGAAGGGACACGGGACATAGAAGCGGGAAGAAAACGATCTTGAATAAATGGATAGCGGAACAAGGTTTAGGAGAGTTTAAAAAGTTAAAAATTATTAAGAACAAAGGACGGAAATTGTGGAGGGCTATGATCGCTAACGTCCTGAAGGGACACGGGACATAGAAAAAACGATCTTTGAATAAAATAAGGAAAAAGGTTTAGGAGAGGATAGCCACAAAGGACGGCAAATTGTGGAGGGCCATGATCGCTAACGTCCTGAAGGGACACGGGACATAGAAGCGGAAGAAAAACGATCTTGAATTGGATAGCGGAACAAGGTTTAGGAGAGTTTAAAAAAAAAAAAAATTATTAAGAGCTACAAAGGACGGGAAATTGTGGAGGCCATGATCGCTAACGTCCTGAAGGGACACGGGACATAGAAGCGGAAGAAAACGATCTTGAATAAATGGATAGCGGAACAAGGTTTAGGAGAGTTTAAAAAGTTAAAAAATTATTAAGAGCTACAAAGGACGGCAAATTGTGGAGGGCCATGATCGCTAACGTCCTGAAGGGACACGGGACATAGAAGCGGAAGAAAAACGATCTTGAATAAATGGATAGCGGAACAAGGTTTAGGAGAGTTTAAAAAAAAGTTAAAAATTATTAAGAGCTACAAAGGACGGCAAATTGTGGAGGGCCATGATCGCTAACGTCCTGAAGGGACACGGGACAGAAGCGGAAGAAAACGATCTTGAATAAATGGATAGCGGAACAAGGTTTAGGAGAGTAGAAGGAAAAAAGTTAAAAAATTATTAAGAGCTACAAAGGACGGCAAATTGTGGAGGGCCATGATCGCCAACGTCCTGAAGGGACACGGGACATAGAAGCGGAAAAAAAACGATCTTGAATAAATTGAATAAGATGGATAGGACGGCAAATTGTGGACAAGGTTTAGAAGGGAAGAAAAGGAGATCTTGAATAAATGGATTGGAACAAGGTTTAGAGAGTTAAAAAAAAATTATTAAGAGCTACAAAGGACGGCAAATTGTGGAGGGCCATGATCGCTAACGTCCTGAAGGGACGGGACATAGAAGCGGAAGAAAACGATCTTGAATAAATGGATAGCGGAACAAGGTTTAGGAGAGTTTAAAAAAGTTAAAAAATTAAGAGCTACAAAGGACGGCAAATTGTGGAGGGCCATGATCGCTAACGTCCTGAAGGGACACGGGACATAGAAGCGGAAGAAAAAAACGATCTTGAATAAATGGATAGCGGAACAAGGTTTAGGAGAGTTTAAAAAGTTAAAAATTATTAAGAGCTACAAAGGACGGCAAATTGTGGAGGGCCATGATCGCTAACGCCCTGAAGGGACACGGGACATAGAAGCGGAAGAAAACGATCTTGAATAAATGGATAGCGGAACAAGGTTTAGGAGAGTTAAAAAAAGTTAAAAAATTATTAAGAGCTACAAAGGACGGCAAATTGTGGAGGGCCATGATCGCTAACGTCCTGAAGGGACACGGGACATAGAAGCGGAAGAAAAACGATCTTGAATAAATGGATAGCGGAACAAGGTTTAGAGAGTTTAAAAAAGTTAAAAATTATTAAGAGCTACAAAAGGACGGCAAATTGTGGAGGCCATGATCGCCAACGTCCTGAAGGGACACGGGACATAGAAGCGGAAGAAAACGATCTTGAATAAAATGGATAGCGGAAACAAGGTTTAGGAGAGTTTAAAAAAGTTAAAAAATTAAGAGCTACAAAGGACGGCAAATTGTGGAGGGCCATGATCGCTAACGTCCTGAAGGGACACGGGACATAGAAGCGGAAGAAGAAAACGATCTTGAATAAATGGATAGCGGAACAAGGTTTAGGAGAGTTTAAAAAAAGTTAAAAATTATTAAGAGCTACAAAGGACGGCAAATTGTGGAGGGCCATGATCGCTAACGTCCTGAAGGGACACGGGACATAGAAGCGGGAAGAAAAACGATCAAGGTTTGAATAAATGGATAGCGGAAAACAAGGTTTAGGAGAGTTTAAAAAGTTAGGAAAAATTATTAAGAGCTACAAAGGACGGCAAATTGTGGAGGGCCATGATCGCTAACGCCCTGAAGGGACACGGGACATAGAAGGAAGAAAAACGATCTTGAATAAATGGATAGCGGAACAAGGTTTAGAGAGTTTAAAAAGTTAAAAATTATTAAGAGCTACAAAGGACGGGAAATTGTGGAGGGCCATGATCGCTAACGTCCTGAAGGGACACGGGACATAGAAGCGGAAGAAAAAAACGATCTTGAATAAATGGATAGCGGAACAAGGTTTAGGAGAGTTTAAAAAAGTTAAAATTATTAAGAGCTACAAAGGACGGCAAATTGTGGAGGCCATGATCGCTAACGTCCTGAAGGGACACGGGACATAGAAGCGGAAGAAAAACGATCTTGAATAAATGGATAGCGGAACAAGGTTTAGGAGAGTTTAAAAAAGTTAAAATTATTAAGAGCTACAAAGGACGGCAAATTGTGGAGGGCCATGATCGCTAACGTCCTGAAGGGACACGGGACATAGAAGCGGGAAGAAAAACGATCTTGAATAAAATGGATAGCGGAACAAGGTTTAGGAGAGTTTAAAAAAGTTAAAATTATTAAGAGCTACAAAAGGACGGCAAATTGTGGAGGGCCATGATCGCTAACGTCCTGAAGGGACACGACATAGAAGCGGAAGAAAAACGATCTTGAATAAATGGATAGCGGAACAAGGTTTAGGAGAGTTTAAAAAAGTTAAAAATTATTAAGAGCTACAAAGGACGGCAAATTGTGGAGGGCTATGATCGCTAACGTCCTGAAGGGACACGGGACATAGAAGGGAAGAAAAAACGATCTTTGAATAAATGGATAGCGGAACAAGGTTTAGAGAGTTTAAAAAAGTTAAAATTATTAAGAGCTACAAAGGACGGAAATTGTGGAGGGCCATGATCGCTAACGTCCTGAAGGGACACGGGGACATAGAAGGGAAGAAAAACGATCTTGAATAAATGGATAGCGGAACAAGGTTTAGGAGAGTTTAAAAAAAAAAGTTAAAAATTATTAAGAGCTACAAAGGACGGCAAATTGTGGAGGGCCATGATCGCTAACGTCCTGAAGGGACAATTTGGGACATAGAAGGGAAGAAAAAACGATCTTTGAATAAATGGATAGCGGAACAAGGTTTAGGAGAGTTTAAAAAAAAGTTAAAAAATTATTAAGACTACAAAGGACGGGAAATTGTGGAGGGCTATGATCGCTAATGTCCTGAAGGGACACGGACATAGAAGGGAAGAAAACGATCTTTGAATAAATGGATACGGAACAAGGTTTAGGAGAGTTTAAAAAGTTAAAAATTATTAAGAGCTACAAAGGACGGCAAATTGTGGAGGGCCATGATCGCTAACGTCCTGAAGGGACACAGGACATAGAAGGGAAAAAAAACGATCTTGAATAAATGGATAGCGGCGGAACAACGGTTTACTTTTTAAGTTTAAAAAACGATTGAAAAAATGGATAGCGGAACAAAAGTTAAAAAATTAAAAAATTAAGAGCTACAAAGGACGGCAAATTGTGGAGGGCCATGATCGCTAACGTCCTGAAGGGGAACGGAAGAAAAACGACATAGCGGAAACAAGATTTAGAGAGTTAAAAAAGTTAAAAATTATTAAAGCCAAAAACGATTATGATGAATCCTGAAAACGGGACATAGAAGGAAGAAGGAACAAGGTTTAGGAGAGAATTTTAAAAAAAATTTTAAAAAATTTTTAAGAGCTAATGAAATAAAAAGTGGACGGCAAATTGTGGAGGGCCATGATGTAACGTCCTGAAGGGACACGGGACATGGAAGGAAGAAAAACGATCTTGAATAAATGGATATGGGAACAAGGTTTAGGAGTTTTTTAAAATTATTAAGAGCTACAAAGGACGGCAAATTGTGGAGGGCTAGACATTTAACGTCCTGAATTTACGGGAAGGACATATATGTTTAGAAGAACGACAAAAAACGATCTTGAATAAAATGAATGTGGAACAAGGTTTAGGAGAGTTAAAAAAAGTTAAAAATTATTAAGAGCTACAAAGGACTGAATTGTGGAGGGCCATGATCGCTAACGTCCTGAAGGGACACGGGACATAGAAGTGAAGAAAACGATCTTGAATAAATGGATAGCGGAAAAGGTTTAGGAGAGTTTAAAAAGTTAAAAATTATTAAGAGGTACAAAGGACGGCAAATTGTGGAGGGCCATGATCGCTAACGTCCTGAAGGGACACGGGATAGAAGCGGGAAGAAAAACGATCTTGAATAAATGGATAGCGGAACAAAGGTTTAGGAGAGTTTAAAAATTAAAAATTAAGAGCTACAAAAGGACGGCAAATTGTGGAGGGCCATGATCGCTAACGTCCTGAAGGGACACGGGACATAGCGGAAGAAAAACGATATGTAATAAATGGATAGAAAAAGTTAAAAATTATTAAGATCAAAGGACGGCAAATTTGGAGGGACAATGAAAATGGGCGGAACAAGGTTTTAGGAGAGTTTAAAAAAAAAAAGTTAAAATTATTAAGAGCTACAAAGGACGGCAAATTGTGGAGGGCCATGATCGCTAACGTCCTGAAGGGGACACGGGACATAGAAGTGGAAGAAAACGATTTGAATAAATGGATAGCGGAACAAGGTTTAGGAGAGTTTAAAAAGTTAAAATTATTAAGAGCTACAAGGACGGCAAATTGTGGACAATGATCGCTAACGTCCTGAAGGGACACAGGACATAGAAGCGAAGAAAACGATCTTGAATAAATGGATAGCGGAACAAGGTTTAGGGAGAGTTTAAAAAAGTTACTTGTATTAAGAGCTACAAAGGACGGCAAATTGTGGAGGGCCATGATCCGCTAACGTAGAAGGGACACGGGACATAAACTGGAATAAAAACGATCTTGAATAAATGGATAGGAACAAGGTTTAGGAGAGTTTAAAAAATTAAAAATTATTAAGAGTTACAAAGGAAAAATTGTGGAGGGCCATGATCGCTAACGTCCTGAAGGGACACGACATATATGGAAGAAAACGATCTTGAATAAATGGATATGGAACAAGGTTTAGGAGAGTTTAAAAAAAGTTCAAAAAATTATTAAAACTACAAAGGGTTACAAATTGTGGAGGGCCATGATCGCTAACGTCCTGAAGGGACACGGGACATAGAAGCGGAAGAAAAAACGATCTTGAATAAATGGATAGCGGAACAAGGTTTAGGAGAGTTTAAAAAGTTAAAAATTATTAAGAGCTACAAAGGACGGCAAATTGTGGAGGGCCATGATCGCTAACGTCCTGAAGGGACACAGGACAGAAGAAGAAAAAACGATCTTGAAAAAATACGGATCTTGAATAAAAAATGGATTAAGAGCTACAAAGGAACAAAATTTTAGGGACGGGAAAAAAAGTTAAAATTGAATAAAGAGCTGGAACAAAGAGTTTAAAAAAAGAAATTGTACAAAGGACGGAAATTTTACATGATCGCTAACGTCCTGAAGGGACACAGGACATAGAAGCGGAAGAAAAAACGATCTTGAATAAATGGATAGCGGAACAAGGTTTAGGAGAGTTTAAAAAAGTTAAAAATTATTAAGAGCTACAAAGGACGGCAAATTGTGGAGGGCCATGATCGCTAACGTCCTGAAGGGACACAGGACATAGAAGCGGAAGAAAAAACGATCTTGAATAAATGGATAGCGGAACAAGGTTTAGGAGAGTTTAAAAAAGTTAAAATTATTAAGAGCTACAAAAGGACGGCAAATTGTGGAGGGCCATGATCGCTAACGTCCTGAAGGACACGGGACATAGAAGCGGAATAAAAAACGATCTTGAATAAATGGATGGCGGAACAAGGTTTAGGAGAGTTTAAAAAAGTTAAAAAATTATTAAGAGCTACAAAGGACGGCAAATTGTGGAGGGCCATGATCGCTAACGTCCTGAAGGGACACGGGACATAGAAGCGGAAGAAAACGATCTTGAATAAATGGATAGCGGAACAAGGTTTAGGAGAGTTTAAAAAATTTTAAAATTATTAAGAGCTACAAAGGACGGCAAATTGTGGAGGGCCATGATCGCTAACGTCCTGAAGGGACACACATAGGTGGGACATAGAAGCGGAAGAAAAAACGATCTTGAATAAAATGGATAGCGGGAACAAGGTTTAGGAGAGTTTAAAAAATTAAAAAATTATTAAGAGCTACAAAGGACGGAAATTGTGGAGGGCCATGATCGCTAACGTCCTGAAGGGACACGGGACATAGAAGCGGAAGAAAAACGATCTTGAATAAATGGATAGCGGAACAAGGTTTAGAGAGTTTAAAAAAAGTTAAAAATTATTAAGAGCTAAAGGACGGCAAATTGTGGAGGGCCATGATCGCTAACGTCCTGAAGGACACGGGACATAGAAGGGAAGAAAACGATCTTGAATAAATGGATAGCGGAACAAGGTTTAGGAGAGTTTAAAAAAGTTAAAAATTATTAAGAGCTCCACAAAAGGACGGGAAATCTTGGAGGCCATGATCGCTAACGTCCTGAAGGGACACGGGACATAGAAGCGGAAGAAAAAAAACGATCTTGAATAAATGGATAGCGGAACAAGGTTTAGGAGTTTTTAAAAAAGTTAAAATTATTAAGAGCTACAAAGGACACAAATTGTGGAGGGCCATGATCGCTAACGTCCTGAAGGACACGGGACATATCCGGAAGAAAACGATCTTGAATAAATGGATAGCGGAACA